GGGAACCTTATTTAAAATTTCAGAGAAATAAGGAATAAATAATAACATTGCCATAAGAATTAAAATTAGATAAATCTGAATATAAAAGAAATAATATTTATAATCTTAGTTCAGATACCTGGATCATAAATTCTAATGATAAAGAATTTCTGAAGAGATAGTTGTACAGATTAACATCTTTTAGACTTTTTTTTTTTTAAAAAAAAAAGCATTATATTTGGTATTGCCTGACCTGATATTATATGAGAAATAAGTTGAACTATTCTTTGCTTTAATTGTGAAAAGAATGGGGTCTGTATTTGGTTCTTTCATAAGTCTGTAAAGTAAATAAAAATTCCTCTACAAACAATTGTTCAATATCACCTATTCTTTGTCGAAAATAACTTCTAAATTGAAATCACGCAATACCTTTTCTTATCGTCTCTTATTAGAGACGTATGAGACCAAATTTGCATATTGATATATCAAAGTAAAGTATTGTCACTCTTATTATAAATCACCTACACCCTTAAATCAGGTAAGCATACTGGTATTTAAAGTTATCATGATCTTACTAAAAATGAAAAGTTGGAAGATTATCTACAGCTAGTGTTAATCAATTCTGATTGGTTATTCGATGTAGGATTTTTTTTAATTTAAATTTTTCAAATATTTCTCTTCAAGAGATTATTTATATACTGTTGATCTTTTTAGTATTATGAACAGCTTTAAAGATTATCAGGTTTAAGAAAATGCCATCAAATTTTTAGTAATTTTGAGGTATTTGAAAAACTTATCTGTTATCTGTATGGTATGTACAAACGTTAACAGTTATTAATGCAGGTTGACAACCAGTTGAATTAAAAAATCGTGTAACTTGTATTACTTTAATAAATAATTAGTGTTGTGTTGTTTTTCTGTGGATCTCATCTTCTTAGACACGATAATGTCTCTCGATCAAAACAAATACCCTGAAAATAATCCATTTTCACTTAAACAAAATAATACAAATTATAAGTATCACATTATTAATGAAGGATTTTATCCACCCAAAAATAAAGTATGGTATACTTCAGCGTCTTCTCATAACAAAACTTAATATAAAGCTCCAGATAGTTATCTAGTTCGGACCAGTTGAGGAAGGAACAAGTCACACTATACGGTGGAATGTGAAATAGAATATGAACAAGATGGACCAGTTTTTATAATAAGATTTGAAGAAAATTCTTAACAATATGTATTAAATTCAAAGAAATCTCCAACCGCAGTTGCTAATGATTATCTAAAAGTCAGTACAGTTTTGTGCAGTTTTTGTGCAAATAACTAGATAAAATTAAAATAAAATGAAATTTTATATATAAAAAAAAAATTTATATAGAAAAAAAGTCCTAATACTTGTGCAACAATTTCTGGAATCCATGTATTTGGCCTCAACACCATAGACATGGAACAGGAGCATAAAAGAAAAAAAAGACAAAGACAGTCTCTTTCTCTTAAACTATTTAATTCTCTGAGTGAATCTATGAAAACCAAAAGATCTCATGCATTTTCTATACATCTAGGCGAAGTTTTTGATACTCAGGTTCCAAAATTTTTTAACTTACTTGACCAACCAGTTCTACAAGAAGTTAAATTCAACATTCAAGATAAAAATTTTATAATTGACTATAATGATGATTACAAAGAAAATAGCGATAGTAATAGATCTCTTGTCTCATTTTTGGAAGTTATTGATCAGGGTCCGATATCTCATTATGCTTATCGTAAATTAGCTAAAATTCAGCATGAATTACCACGAGCATATGAGATTTCGGATACCGGAACAAAAATTAACTAAGAAATGAGCATCAAAATACCTATTTTTACCCTAAATATTGAAAATATGGCTCTTGAAACTTCTAATATTGATGTTGATATAGGTA